CCGTCCCAGCGCCAACACGGGCGACGAGTTCCAGCACCCGAAGCCAGGTGGCCCGCCCCTCTACAAGTACGCCGCTGCTGTGGAATGCAACCCTCAGTTCTCGCCCTCTGTCCCAACCGTGCAACCTCTGCACGGAGACGAGGACAACGATGGCGACCCTAATGAGGCCGCCGCTGGATCTCAAGGCAGTCAGCAGCAACCCGAAGCAGCAGCACGCCGGCCCCGGGCCGTCCCACAGACGCAGAGCTGCATACTTGAGGGCTTCCGGGTTTACCGATCCCTGGCTAAGACGGTCTTCTTGCTGGAGAAGCAGCAGCGCCAGGACAGCAGCCCCTCTGGTCGTCGCCTGACAGAGTATGCCTCTATGTTTGGCGGTGAGCCAGCCACCGAGCAGCGCATAGCCGAGATGGTCGACGACCTTAACAGCCGCGCCATCGTCGACTTGGCCGACCTGGCACACCTCGAGCCACGCGTCGTGCTGCAGAGGAACGAACCACGCCACACACTCAATACCCGGCTCATCATGCTGGAGGCACAGCGCAAGAAGCAGCGCCTTGTGGTGTGGAATGCGGACCACGTCCCTGTCCAGAAGCGCGGTGCTGCTGCGGAACCGGCCCTGACACACGTGGAGAAAGCAGTTGCGATGCGGATCAAGGATCACGAGTTTGGCCACACCACCGCCGACACGTGGTACTACCATGGCGCCCGATACATCCTCCTTGATACGACTGCTGCCGATGCCGGAGCGAGCCACAACAACGAGGTGGAAGCCTGCGGCCTGCTTGAGGATGGCCGCGAGCCAGCCGATGATGGCCGTGGCCCCTACCGCCGGCTCAAGTACCTTCCAGCGGCTGTCATTGTGCGGCCTATAAGCGGCCACATCCCCGGCACCGTGCTGCAGGGCCTTGGAGACTACGCCAGCAGGGGTGGTGCCTTCATCCTGTCACCCCGGGCGTCTTGCATTGCCGAGGTCGACATGCCTGCCGCCGGGTACGGCACCATCACAAAGCAGATCCGGCGCCTCAACGTACCGCTCGGCGAC